TAATGCCAATAATAATAATAGAGATAAAAGACCAAAATTAAGTGGCACCCCAAGTAAATTCAGGCATATCCTGTGTTTTTAGGAGAGACTTAAAAGAGGACACCATCGCAGACCACCATATGAGCTCTGTCCTCAGAATATAAAATGCATTTGCTGGCTGCAGGACCTTGTGTGTCTGACTCTGAGGCCTTCATATTAAACTTCAATTCTCATCTTCCTACCTTCACTTTGTGGCTTTTTCACTCCAGCTGCTAAAGGCCTGTGTCTATTACCATTCTCCTACTGGGTTGTCCAAATTTCAATCAATGCATTGATCAGTGCATTGATATGCACAGTGGAATCTGTTTTCCTGACAAGAACAACACTTCCTGAAACCCTCTGCATCTCTCCGACCCTCTGTTTGTTTGTTCCCTCAGACATATTTGGTGGCACCTAAAATTGCTATGCTTTCAATCTATAATTTAATCATCCTGATTTTGCAATTTTAAATCTATGATGTGCACCACACAATACCTGTATTTTATATTTTATATTTCCTTCTGCAATTGAGGGTTTAAGTACAGATTGTAAAGCCCATTGAGACAAATTTATGATTTGATGGGGTTATATATTCTTCATTTGTCATAATTGTGTTAATCTTAGTAGTTATCTTTAGTATCAATGCTCAGGCACATCTGTTCCATCAGCAGTAACTGTAGCAACCTAGGTAGTACTGACCATACAACAGATGTTGTAGGATTGCCAGAACATCAAATGGAAGTGGTCACAGTCTGTGTAGTCTGTCATGTGAGGAAACCTGGGTTTAAATACAACCTTTTCAGAGAACAGCTTCAGATAAGAGGAGGCATATGGTTCGTTTCTCTTCTCTTCAATGGGGCAATCAAATGCATCTGTTTGAGACATCTTGGTCTCCCAATGCTTCTTCTGTCAGCAAACACAATTTCAGTTGCAGATATTATTTGTTTGAACAGTATGTGCATCAAAATCCAAACCCTTAATGCAGCTCGCAATGTGAGTTGCAACTTGTTTGTTGCTTTTCCATCACCACGACATCTGGACGGGTTTCTCAATCACTGAAACCGCAGCATTGCTGCATAATAATTTGATTTTATCTTT